AGCTTTCCGACTCAGCTCCCCAAGCCTTATGAAGCTCACCTGCCTGCAGCCAGTTTGGGTGGTCTGAGTGCCCCACCCACGCACGCAGTCTAGCTAAAGCACTTCCGGTCCAGGGCGGAAGTCCTGTAGGAAGACGGGAAGTCCTGCCTCTTCGGGCTAGTGCGACGGTCGCAGGAGCTCCGAGGAGCGCGTGTCGGAAAATATTGGTATCACAGAGCTGCTTCCAGAATCCAAACCCAGCGGGTGCTGTACCGGAGATTCCAAGCTGTGAAACCTGAAATGACAGAGCGGCCCAGTGAACGCGCATGCTCCAGTTTAGTTTGATACCACGAAAGCGAGTTACGAGTCCTGAAAACCTACCTACTTGGGAATCTACCGCGTAGGAAGCACGTAGTCACAAAAATATAATGGTGATGCCTCCAAAGCGGGAAAGATAGTATTAACTAGCTAAATTAAAACATAAGGTTAAATGCATGTATGAAACAATAGAAAAATAAACTAAACATGTTGATTTCTACGCATCAATTTTTTTCTTTTTTCTTTTGGTACCAGGGATGGAACTCACGACCTTGCACTTGCCAGGCAGGCGCTTGTGCTGCTGAGCTAACCCCCAACCCCGCATCAGTTTTCTTATGTGAAAAATGAACTGTTTCATTGCGAGGACCAAAGGATATGATGCATATAAAAGGGTCTAGGGGCTGGGGATTGAGCTCAGCGGCATAAGCGCCTGCCTTGCAAGCAGGCATTCGTGAGTTCGTTCCCTGGTACCGATAAAAACGAAAAATACAAAAAAAAAAAAAAAGGGTCTGACAAATGATTAAAGCCCTAGATACCTGGGTGTAGGAGTCACCTCAGTAATAGAGTTCTTGCATAGCAGGCAGGAGACACGGGTCATTGAATAGCATTTCCAAATCCAAGGGGAAATTGAATAACATTTCAGGGAGGTAACAATGGTGCTGAATATTTGAATGTTAAAGTTGAACAGGATTTCAACCTACATATTTGTTGTGATTAATAAAAAGACACAGGCTGGGATAATGATCCTTTTCAAAGGCTTTGCTGTTTGAAATCCTATCAGTAGGAATCCAACATCCTGTTCTTGCCTGGATGATCTGAGCTACGTGAGTAAAAATGGCACTTTTCCAATATAGGGGTAGAACTTCAAATAAGAGATTCTTAGATACAACATTCCCAATTTATTTTCGCTTCATGGTTTTCAGGGAATCCAGACCTTGGATCTGCTTCATAGTACAGACCCTAACCTGCTTTGTTTAACTACAGTATTACCTATATGCGATTAAACTTTGTTTTCCCCTTCCAATTCCTTCAATACTGGAGATAGAATTCATGGCCTCATGCATGCTAGCCAAGCACTCCACAAAAACCTTAAAAAACAATTTTTTAAAAAAAGTTTGTGTGGTGACACATACCTGGGGTATAGGAGAAATGCAATTCCCATAGATATCAAATTTGTTGTCTCACAACATCAAGGAATGAAGTCATGAACTAAAGGAAGAAGTTAAGAGAATTTTCTTGAAAATAAGGAGAGGAAGTACAGCTCCTGGATTTCCAGGAGAGTCCTCAGTGGAGTGGCTAACAAGGCCTTTTGTCAAGGGAAATCACCGATATCAGTAAGTGGGTACCACATAGGTCAAACTACAGGACAATCAACCTATAGCAAAATGTAGTCACATAGCTGATATTGATCCAATAGGGAAATGAGTCATATACCAATGATACATGGAAAGAACAAAGGCATTTTGGGGAAGGGACTGAATGTTCTGGTCACCCATATGCCAGATACTCACCTAGGCCCACTGGACCAGGTAGTACATATTACAGAATAATCTGAAATTGTTGCTTATATCTAGGAAGGAATGCAAGCCTGGCTATTGTGTATCTTGCATTTCTAGCCACAATGTTACTGTCTTTATTTTTCGTGCTGACTTCCTTCAAGGCCCAATCCCTCTTTGTATAAATTAATTTTTATCTAACTTAGCTGTCTATAATACCAATCTTTGTGTGGCCCAGACAGGAAGATTGGCACAAATTCCAGGCCAGACTAAACTACACAGGGAGACAGAAATAGATCTTTTTTTTTTCTTTTTGAGACAAGGTCTCCCCATGCATTTCATGCTGGCTTTGAGCTCACTTTGAAGCCCAGGCTGATTTTGAACTTGCAATGATCTTCCTGCCTCAGTCTTCTGAGTGCTAGGATTACAAGCCCGTGCCACCACACCTGGCTACATGGAGACCTTGATTCAAAAAAAAAATTTTTTTTTTGTTGAACTTAAGATTCTCCTATTCCCCAAAAAAAAAAAAAAAAAAATTCTATTTCCTCTAATGTATGTTCTTCCTTGTTTCAGCAATTTAATAAACCTCATGTTGTTATATAAGTTGTCTATGACAGTCTTTATTGGATGGGCTTAAATCACTGACTAAATCTGTAGCACTCATAAAGGTGGTAGATACCTTCAGCAATATATTCAAAACTGAATATATAGAGAATAATGGCATATTGTTTACTGTCACTCATCTGAGTCCTGAAAAGAACAGTTTTTTTTCTTTTTTATCAGTACCAGGGATTGAACTCACGACCACATGCTTGTAAGGTAGGCAGTTATGCCTCTTGAGCTAAATCCTCAAACCCTCACACCCTGAATAGTTTTTTTGTTTGTTTGTTTGGAGACAGGGTCTTGCTATGTAGTTCAAGCTGCCTTGAGCCTGTGTACTTACAGCAATCCTCCTGCCTCGGCCTCCCAAATACTGAGATTATAGGATTGTGCTACCATGCCCAGGTGAACTGTAGAATTTTTTAATTTGAAAATTTTTATTTGGGTTTTTGTTGATATTATTTTTTGTGTTTTGCAGTGCTGGGATCAAACTTAGGGCTTCATGCATGCTAAGCATGTATTCTACCACTGAGCTACATCTCCAACCCTGGTATTATAAATTACCTTTTGACAAAGAATCACATCTGCTATATTCAGAGAAGTCCCCCAACAGAAATATAAAATATAAATCTTGCCAAGAGCTAGAGCTGTGGCACATTCCTGTAATTGCAGCTACTTGGGAGGTTGAGGCAAAAGGATCACAAGTTCCAGGCTAGCCTGGGCAGCTTTGTGAGACACTATCTCATAATAAAATTTTTAAAAGCCTGGGTTATAACTCAGTGGTAGATTGCTTCTTTAGCAAAAGGCCTTAGGTTCAATACTCAATACTGCAAGAAAAAAAAGAAAAAAGAAAAAAAAAAAGAGAATCTTCCTTTTCTTTGCAAGATACTTTATTCTCTCCATTATTGGTGCCCAATGTTGCTTGGAATGAAGTATGGTATCTTGCTAAATGGCTTTTTTACTATATTTTCTCAAGAAGGAGGTCTCCATACTCTCATCTCTCAATGTTCATTTCCTTCTTGTTTCCAGTCTGATGCTCCGGTTTCCCTTTCATCAGTTCTTTTAAAATCACTTGCTTAATTGTCACTAGTGATCAAATCATTAAGATTTCTTAGTCTGAATACTCCTTGATTTTTCCATAGCACAGATGCTAGGGTTAATTATCTCTCATTATTGGAAAAAATCATATTTAAATATTGTAGAAAAAAAGCTCAAATTTTAAATCAAATATTTGCACTGCAATCCATTTTGAGTCTTGTCATTAATGCACTAAGTAAATATTTAGTGAGTACTAGCTCTGTATCAAAACCTGCTAGTCACTAGGAATGAAAACAAAATGCAATGATCTAGCCACAGAGAAACTTATGCAAAATAATGTGGGATAAATGACACATAAATAAAGGACAACCATTTTAAAGACATATTGGCTGAGAGGGCTGGAGTTTTAGCTCTGTTGCACAAGTGCCCGCCAGGCAAGTACAAGGTCATAAATTCAATCCCTGGTACCAAAAAAAAAAAAAAAAAAAAAAAAAAAGCAAGCATTGGCTAAGAGTTCTTTGGTCAGTTTATGTAAAAATTCCAAACAAGCAAAAGTATAGCTCTTTAGTGTTGCTAGTTTTTTGAGACAGAGTTTCTCTTTGTGTTCTGGCTGGCCTTGAATTCACATTACTCCTCTTGCCTCAGCCTCCTGAACTGCTAGGATTAGGTGATTTTGTCAACAATCTTTAGCTTAATGCCAGTAATTAACATTTAGAGTTAGTGGCCCTCCACTACCCTCTTGGGAGCCGGAATAAGCAGTTGACAGCAAGCCCCAGGATTATCACCAGGGATGCTAGCTGTTTGCAATTCTATTGTTTTCTGGCTGCTAGCTGCCTTTAGGGTTTCCTACTTTGGCTCCTGGCTCCTTTTGGTGTCTCTAATGTCACAGCTTTTTGTTACACCAACTCCTTGTGCTCTACTCAAGACAGTAATCATGAATACAAAAAAATATGTCACCCTGGGGGCTTTATTAGCATCAATGCTGCAGCATAGAGGGGAATAGTACACAAACTTTTGAAGATATGAAGAGATCGCTTATACAAGAGAGAGGCAGGCTCATGCTTATAGTATCAGACTTTGTTTACTTGTGGGTTGTGGGAGGGCTCCCAGGACCTGATGCTGGCTGCAAAGTGATGGAGTGATCCAGAGAGGCTACAGTATAGAATCATCTGGTATAGTCCCGTGATGGAGGCTTGTAGCAGCAAAAACAAAAAACCAAAAGCTGGAGTGGCTGTGGGGCATTTGACAAGCTACAAATGTAGACAGCTACAAGGCATTTGGGAACAGTAGTGGGAAATAAATAAAAAGTACCTTTTGGGGAGCACTGAGTGTTTCTCTACTATCTCAAGGGTAACTTTAACACTGAAATACAAACTTGCTGCAAGATAAAAAGAATTCAGTTATGGATTAATACTGGAGGAAGAATTATGGGCCTAGAGCATTATAGTCACAGGGTGGGAACTACTGATTTATAGTTTTTCAAGATGTTTAGTGTTATAGCTTAAAAGGTAGGGTAGAGAAAGAGTAAAGTGGGAAGAACTGGGCATGCTGTTGGGCTTGTAATCAGAGCACTTGGGAGTTTGAGGCAGAAGGATTTCTGAAGTTCATGGCCAGCCTGGACTTCATAGTGGGTTTAACACCAATCTAAACTACAAATGACACTGTCTCATAAACACCAAAGCGGGGGGGGGGGGGGGAAGAGGGAAGAATGCTGCAATATAGCTCAGCTATAGACTCCCTGCCTAGCATGTGTGAGAGGCTGTTTGTTCTATCCCCAGCACTACCTTGATGACAACAAATAAAGACAGGAGGAAAAGGAGCAAGAGGATGAGGACAAGGAGAAAAAGGAGAAGGCGAGGGAGTGGAGTGAGGAGGTAGGTCAGTTTAAAGGTAATTCATCTACATTTCATCCACAAAAGAAAAAGGTAGCTTAAGAAAGGAGAGGCAAAACTGAAGAGTAGGGTTGCAGGTGCTGAGAGGTAAGTAAAATGAGAAAACAGAACATTTCATATGAAGTGTTGCACAATATACAACACATCAGCATCCCTGGCAGAAGTGTTCTTGATAGAGTGGGTAACTTGCCATCAGACAGGAATTGAACTAGAAAATAAATGGAGGGAGCAAAGTCAAATGACTTTTCCAAATAGTTTGCTAATTGCCATATTCAAGAAAACTTTCAGTCAGCATCCTATTGGATGTCTCTGATGCATCAAACTTTTTTTCTTCTTCATTTTTGGGAGGGAGTTATATTGTTATAAACTACTTTTTAAAAGTGGTACAGGGATTGAAGCTAGGGCTGTCATAATGAGTTGCATCCCCATGTCCTTTTTCTTTTGAGAAAGGGTCTGGTTGAGTTGCTCATGCTGGATTTGGCAATCCTCCTCTCTCAGCAGTCCGGAGTGCTGAGATTATAGGCTTGTACCATCATGCCTGGCTCAAAATTCATTCTTTCATTGCAACATTTCTGTTTTCTTCTATAGCTACCTTTCCCCAGATCCGTCATAAGGAGTCGATTTTCCACAGGGAGCTTCACATGGGCAGGTATCTATCATGCAGTTTCCTCCAGCCCTCATATGAAATGTGCCAAAGATAGACTAGGAAGAATTATGTGGTAGAACAGCTACTAAGCAACGAAGTTGTTTTGTATAGAGTCCACTTTTAAAATAGATTAACAAAAAAACCTCTATGGTTAGAGGTGTAGCTCAGTGGTAGAGCATTTGCCTACTAGGTCCTGGGTTTCAGACCAGCACTGCAGAATAAACAAATAAATGTAGGTAGAGGTCCATGAATATTACTTTTCTTTTAAAAGTAAGGTACAGTACTCTAGCTGGAAAAACACCATCAGAAATCCACAGTGACGAAATGTTCTCCAGTTGGCTTACTATGAAAAAAAAGACCCAAGGTCAGTCATATCCCAAAGTCAGTTGTATGCTTTTGAATAAAGGACCCCCCCCCCCCCCGTACTGGAGATGGAACCCAGGGAGCCTCTACCACTGAAGTCCTTTTCCAGCCTTTTGTATTTTTTGACTTTGTAAAAATTTTGGTAAGTAGCCCATGGTGCCTTCAAATTTGTGATCTTCCTGCTTCAGCCCACAATAGCTGGGATTACAGGTGCATCCACTGTCCCCAGCCATAAATTCAATGTTTAAGTTTTGTTTTACAAGGAGTCTACAGAATACTCAAAGGCCACTCACTCATGTCCTATCTGAGTGGAAGGGAATGGCTTGTTTCTTCTTGTTTATTAAGACATTTTGTTTTGGAAAGATGTCTTCAACAAGGAATTACAATTTTAAATTAAGCCATATTGACAGAGGAAATTTAGGCTGAGAAAATCTTCCACAAAGCAGTATTATGGTGGGCCAAGGATTCAGCTCAGCAGCATAAACAATCTGCCTGGCAAGTCCACGGTTGAGTTTGATCCCAGGTACCAAAAAAAAAAAAAGATAAACACACTTTGGGCTGGAATTCAGCTCAGCAGCATAAGCGCCTGCCTTGCAAGTGTGCAGTCTTGAGTTCAAGCCCCAGTACTAAAAAACAAACAAACAAACAAACAAACAAAAAAACCCCAAAGCAGTGTTATGAATATAGGCATACATTTTGGAACATCTTTAAGTAAGAATCAGCAGACAAGGTTGGTGAAGTAAAAACTATTAACAAATGTGTGAGATAAAATTGGAAGCAGATTACATGAAGCTTTAACTAGCAAATTAACACATTTGTCCTAAAAAGGACTTTTAAGTAACGTTATACAACATAAAAGCAAATAAACAAACACACTGGCAGTTGTATGCACGCTTGTCTTGCAAGATGCAAGGGTGTCAGGAAAATGTCCAGTGACGCTACCCATATTTGGAGTGATGCTACTCTGACCTAGCAGGAAATTATTGGTATGATTATTTCATTTGGTCCAGCAGTTACTAGCTAAATGAAATTCTCATTTGAGCCATGATATGACATTGGAAACTGCATGAAATTCTTTCAGCTGCCTCCTTGAATAGTCCCTAAGTGATCTGTGGGCTTAAAGCAAGAATTTCAACACTGGTAACTTTTATTTTTTTGAGTACTAGAACTTTTGCACTAAGCCGTACCCTCATCCCTTTTTAAAATTTGAGACAGAGGGTTTTGGTAAGTTGTCCAGGCTGGGTTCAGAGTTGGGACCCTCTTACTCCAAGCTTCTGGGTTGCTGGAATTATAGGTGTGTACCACCAAACTCAGTTATTGGTGTTTTATTGGTACCAGGAATCGAACTCAGTACCCTATGCTTGTCAGGCAGGTGCTTGTGCCACTGAGCTATAAACCTGGGCCTACTGGTGACTTTTTTTGTGGTAACATGGTGTTTTGAACCCATGGTTTCTCATATGCTAGTTGAGGGCTCTACCACTGAGCTGTATCTAAAGCCCTTGCTTGAGACAAGATTTTTTTGATAAGTTAACCAGGCTGGTCTTAAACTTGTACATAAATTAGTTGTTGAGATTACAGGTGTACACCACTATGCCCAGCTCTTGATGGTATTTTCTGTGCTGCTGAATCATTTCTTGGCTTCCTCTAAAATGTCAGAATTTATATTCAGATTTTTTGTAATCTTAATAGTAGTGAAAGCCTTTATTTTTAGAGCTAATACATTTAATGATTTTTTTTTTTTTTGGTCTTTTTGAGACAGGGTCTCATTTCGCAGTTCAGGCTGGCCCTGAGCTCACTTTGTAGCCCAGGTTGGTTTCAAACTTGCAGCGATTCTTCTGCCTCAGGGAATGGTTTAATTTTATTGTTTTCAACTTCAATTCATGGCTTTTCAAATCTTAATTGGCCAAGTCTCAGGAGTTGATAAATTGAAAAAACTTTTAAAAAAGTATTATAATTTCACTTTTATTATAAAAATCACAAAGCATTTTCATCAAATTTACTAGAAAATCTATTCTCTGGACTGTTTTGTAAACAACGTAATTTTTTTAATTTTCAGTTTTATTTTCATTTGCTTCATTTTCAGTTTGTTTAAGTTTTGTATGTACATTTCTTTATGATTAAATGGCTTTATCTGTCACCTTTATGTTTTTATTTTGTAATTTATTTTATTTTTTCAAGGCTGGATCTCACTACGTAGTTCAGGCTGATCTTGAATTCATGGGACTCACCCTGCCTCAGCCTCAAGTGTTAGAATTACAGGCAAGCACCATCACACCCCGCTGTCAATTTTAATACATAAACCAGCTCTTTTTTTTTTTTTGTCTTTTTCCTTTTTATCGGTACCGGGGATCGAACCCATGACTGCCTGCTTGCAACGCAGGCGCTTATGCCGCTGAGCTAAATCCCCAGCCCCAACCAGCTCTTTTTATAAAGTATTGACAGCTGTTAGAATTATTAAAACTGTATCTCTTTAAAACTTTTTTACTCTTTACATGTTTATTCCCATGTACAATTTTTATTAAATGACTTACCAGATTTTCTTAAGATTTACAAACTACATATATAGCCTACCATTATTACTACCTCATTCACTGAGGCCCAAGTATCTCCCATTATTCATTATAGTAACTCTGAGATTGGCACATAATTTATGTACAGGGATGAAAGCAATTCAAAGCTAGTAGGTTGGTCATTCTAAAGGAGTGCTTGATGTCCTAATTCAAATTTTCCTAAAAAAAAAAAAAGTCTTGTTGAAGTAAGATTTATGGCAACATAGCTGGGTTTTTGGTGGGGGTGAGGGAACAGTATCAGGGATTGAACATTGGGCCTCAGGCACAGTTGCCTAGCATTCTACCACTTAGTTAAATTTTCAGCTCTATTTTGAGATAGATTTTGAGATAAACTGTCCAGATTTGCTTTGAACTTGTGATCCCCTGAGTAGCTGCAATTATAGGTGTAACTATCACAACCCTTCCCCCAAAATAAATCAATTTGTTCTCTGCAGCTGCATAGAGTAGAAATTATTTTTAAATGTTAAATTAAGTCTTTTATCCAACACTAGAAAGGTTGACATAGGAAGATCACCATAAGTTTGAGACCAACCTGCAAAGTGAGACCTTGCTGGCCTTGAATTCACAGCAACTTTCTTGCTTCAACCTCCTGAGTGTTGGGATTAAAGGCATGCACCACCACTCCAGATTTTAAAAAAAAAAAAAACATTGAAATGGCAAACTCTAATTCATATGTGGCTTATCACAATATTTTTCCCTTATGTGGGAAAAAAATTTCCTGTAACATAAACCTAAGCAGATGAATTAATTTGTATTACTGGCTTTAAAAATCTCACAGTCTGACTATATTCTGCATTAACAATTGTAACTATAGATTAAGTATAAAATTTTGATTATTAGACAGATTAAATGACTCTCTTAAAGTTCCCCATTTAGCTGGGCTTGGTGATGCATCCATAATCCTAACATTTGGGAAGCTGAGGCACAGGACAATTGCTGAGTTTAAGACCAGTTTGGGATATAGAGTGATTTCAAGGCAACCCTGAATTACACAGACCCTATTTCAAAACAACAGCACCACCACAAAACCAAAAACAAAGTAAAAGTTCCCAATTCAATTTCAAGCATTTCTGCAACTGATAAAGACAAAAATGATGAAAGAATCATGAATTAGTATCAGATCAAAATTAATATGATTAGGCAAGGAAAACATTTTATTTAAGCAGTCTTTATAATTAGAGGTAAATAATTTCTGCTATAGTCACATTAGGTTTTTAAAAATAATCATGGTTTTTCAAAAGTATCAATTTATAAACACAGGTTCAAATTTCCATATTGTAGCACAAATACCCGAATTTTAAGTGGTTCCTTTAGCACTGTCAAAGTAGGAATTTCAAATTATTTTAAAAGCTAAGAAGGACAGCATCTAACTGTTTTAAGATTTAGGTTAGTGCTCAGGGAAGAGTTGCTCGTTCAAGCATATGGTGATTAGATTCAACACAATGTATTACAGAATCAATCCAGCAAAATGAAACACTTCTTTTTTTCTTTGTCTTTTTCCTTTTTATCGGTACCAGGGATCGAACTCACGACTGCCTGCTTGCAAGGCAGGCGCTTATGCCGCTGAGCTAAATCCCTAGCCCCTAAAAATGAAGCATTTCTAAGGGAAGCATGTCAACCCTTCTAATATGGGAGTCTTTTTTTTTTTTTTTCCATTCTTATCTCTCCTGCCACAGATAGCTCCAGTGGTTTGGGTATGGACATTGAAGAAATAGCCGGGTCAGGGGTAAGGCACTAAAAAAGCAATTAGTGCTCAACGGAGCCTTTGACTACTTTTGGTCAGGCACAGAGTTAACACTTTGGTTTTCTTCAGAGATCAGAGATGCTTACTCCTCTCCTCCCCTACCTTATATTCCATCTTTTTGAGATGGGGTTTCACTATGCAGTATAGGCTGGCTTCAAACTACCAGCAATCCTCCTGCCTCACCCTCCTGAGTGCTGGGATTATAGGCATTAGCCACCATGCCTGGGCCTACTCTCTTTCCATCTAAACATCTACTACCTTCAAGGAGGGTACTGGGTGAGAAGGGAATAAGCATTTCTCCATTTTTATACTGGTGATACGCAAACAGCCTTTTAAAGATCTTCACTGTCAGTAGTGAGGAAATACGTCCAGGCCCCAAGGATCCCGAATAAAATGCTTATTCCACACATTCTTTTTCTTTTTATATTTTTGGGGGGTTTTTTGGTACCAGGGATCAAACTCATGACTTTGCATTTGCCAGGCAGGCGCTTACACCACTGAACTAAATCCCAGCCCTCTTTTTCTTTTTAAAATGGAATATTAATCAGTTTGGGACAGAAATATGTTGTAAAAGGAAAAAAGCACTTGGCTAGCATGTAAATTTCATTAGGTAGAGATTCCTTAATTAAAAGAGCAGATTTGTGGGGGGAAAAAAGGTAGAGAGTAGCAAAAAGGACCTGAATGGTTACTCTTTTTCGTTCAGCCTTCTCCCAGAAGACTTTAGTAAGAGGGCTTCCAGAGAGGATGCCAAGATATTCCTAGTAGCAGCATTCAATAAAGCAGTGCTGTGATCTTTGGGCAGCTTAGCTAAAGACACTGGTCTCATAGTCACTAGTTTGACACTGGAGATGATTGGAAATTGCCTATAAAGTAGTAAGGAAGCATCTAGATAAAAATTTCTGGAAGTTCAAGTTTCTTATATTGACAAGAGCAACAGAACATTTGTTGTAGTAGGGGACAGTTGGTCAGAATGACTTGCTATAAGAAGTTCTGACATTTAAATTAGACCTATATAAATGTGGCACCCTTTTATTCTTTTGACTTTGTATTATGTATCTGAATAGGTTTCTACACATTGAAATAATTTCACTCATTTCACTTCTATTTTCTGTTTCTGGCTATTAAGAATTTGGTCCAAATTTGAAAAGCTCACAGATTAAAAGACAAAAAATAAATAAAACAAGTTGTACATACCAATCAAGAATGGGTTAACATTATTAATTTTCTTCTTTGAACATCTTACCTAAGTGCTTCACTAAAGCTACTAGCTCAGGATTTCCACCACATGCCTCAATTTGTTTATAGGCTTCAGATTCAAGCTCTCTAAGAGTATTCCGAGTATATTCAAAAGAACCTACATCCTCAAGATACTGGACACAGTATTTTTTAATATCTATGTTTTCTGTTCTCTGGTGCAAGATGTTCTGCACCTGAGTGCTTTCAGGCTTCGACCGAATAGCATGAATTGTAGGGAATGAGAACTTTCCTTCTGTCAGATCTTCACAAAAACTTTTGTTTTCACTATATTCTTTGGAGTGGAGGTTGGCATAATCATCTCTAATTTGGAAAAAGAGCCCAAGTGTATTAAGCAGTGGTTTTAAATCTTCTTTGTAGTCAGAGAACAACTGCATGAGACCTACTGCTAATCCAAATAGTCCACCTGTCTTCTGCAGCACCATGGCTTTATATTCTTCTTCAGTGGGACAAATGTAATTATCCCTCCAGTAAATATCTAGGCCTTGTCCCTGGTGGAGTTCCAAAAGCTGACAGGTAAAAAGCTTCACTGCATCTGGGTGATCAAGAGTTAAGACTTTCTCCAAGCCAAGGAAATATACATAATTGGCAGAATTGATGACAGATGGAATTCCATAGATGCTGTGTGCTACAGGAAAGCCACGTCGGAGTTTCGAATTGTCCTCAATATCATCAATGAGTAAACTGGCATTATGCAACATTTCTGTCACTTCAATGATAATCTTAAAAAAAAAAAGAATAGAAAATTTTACCATACTTGAACTATTCAAAACAGTTTATGCTTAATATTAAGATATTCTGAAAGTCTCAAGTGTCTTATAATGTTTACAAATATGAAATAATATATTTTATGAGCACTATAATGAATCAAGAGCTAACAGTATTTATATGTGACATGTATTAATTTTGGGGAAGGGTTAATAGTGAGATGAGAATTGCCAGCTGGGTACAGTGGCCCATGCCTGTAATCTGAGCACTTTGGGAAGCTGAGCTGGGAAGATCACAAGTATAAGTCTAGACTGGGCAACTTAGCAAGATCCTAAAAGTGAAAAACAAAAAAATGTCTAGGAACATATCTCAGTGGCAAAACCCTGGTTCAATTCCAGTACTGGGGAAAATGATTGTCTAAATACCTGTAGTTTGTCTTCTGGAACTTTCAGCCAGTGATTAAATGCCTGAGAAAGTTTTGTTCTCACTTGTTTACCTGCAATCAAATAGTAAAAAATGTCAAAAAATAATTATTTTAATTATAATAAACCCATGATGCATTTTGTAATCCCACTGTGGAAGGTTAAAACAAGAGGACAAGTTTACTTGCTGAGACCCTGTCTCAAAAAAAAAAAAAAAAACAAAAAAAACAAAAAAAAAACAATGCTGGGGATACAGCTCAGTGGGAAGGCCCTAGCTTCAATCCTTGGGGTGAATATGACTGTGTGTGCATATACACATTCAGAAATTTTCTTCGAAACTAATCAGACTTGAGAACTCCAGCCCCATCAATCTATTACCCACAGAGAGATTATCTTCTACTGCCCACATGCAAGTCCCAACCTCTCAGAAATTCATATCCCAAAACCAGGCATGGTGCAACATGCTTGTAATCCCAGCTATTCAGGAGGCTGGGCTAGGAGGATCTCAAGTTGGAGGACAGCCTAGACAATTTAGAGATACCTTGTCTCAAACTGGTGAGAAATGTTGCTTAGTTTTTATAGAGTACCTGCCTAGCATGCATAAAGCCCACAGTTCAATCATTAGTATAGCCAAAACAAACAGACCTCAAGACCCCTACTATATCCTGTAATACTCAACTTTCCTTCTGTCTTTTTCCCTCTCCTTTTCTTGCTTTCTTGTTTTTTGAGACAGGTTCTTATTGTTATCACTTTCTAGATAAAGGTGTTTCTTTTTTGTAACATGGTCTCAATATGCAGTCCAGGCTGGCCTTGAATTTTTTTTTTTTGGTAACAGGAATTGAACCCAGGGTCTTGTGCTTGCCAGATAGGCACTTACGCCACTGAGCTGTATCCCTGGCCCTGGCCCTGAACTTATTATCTTTCTGCCTCAGCCTCCTCAGTTCTGGGATACCAGAGTATCTGTATTTTTTTAATAGTGCCTTTTAAGAGTAAATAAATTAAAATAAATATTTAATAGTCAATAAATATTTAAGAGTAGATAAATTAAATAAAATACATTTTTTCAAGGATTACTTTAAATAGAAAATCTGGTTAAGTCTATGCTTTTGTTCACTAACATTTCAACAACCATTTGTGTTTGAAAAGTGTTCTATGTGGATGGCTGTAACTGAATAGTTACCTGGTAACTGAAGTAAGTACCTGTAGGGTTCTAGAAGAATTCTTTGGACATTTTCTTGAGTCTTCTCCATTGTTTTGAAATTTCAAAGTTGATCTGCCAAAACAAGAAACATAATTTCATGAATCAAATTACTGTACGTTTAAGTAACAGACTGAAAAATACTCATGTCTCAAGGTATTTTTGGAAAGACTTTCAGTTTGGTTTAAAAAAATTTATTTGGATTTTTTTGTTGTTATTCTTTTTTTTTGGGGGGGGGGGGTTTACCAAGGATTGAACTCACAACCTGTACTTGCCAGGTAGGTGATTATATCACTGAGCTAAATCCCCAGCCCTGATATTTTTGGGAAAGAATTAAAAAGTTATATAATTACAGGTGAACATACTAAAAAAAAAAAAATCACTTAATCATATACTTTTGTTTTGAGATGGTTTATCACTAAGTTGCCCAGGCTGATTCATGTTTTCACGTGATCATACTTCTTCAGTCTCCCAAGTAGGTGGAAATATAGGTGTGTACCACCACATGAGGCCTAAAATTTTTTTTTTTAAGAGACAGGATTTTGCTGTGCCCTCAAATTTCAAAATGATAATTCTTCATTCATGTGATTATATTAGTCAGTGTTAAGCTGATTTTTTTTTTCCTTCAATTTAAGCACATTGCACTGAGGTAACCTTTGGCCAAATTCTGTTTGTTTTTGGTACTTGGGATTGTACTTGCCAGGCAGGCATTTGTGTTGCTGAGCTAAATCCCCAGCTCTTTGCCTAAATTCTTAGAGGTTTGTTATTCAATCTAAGATACTATATTCCAAAACAACAGTGACAACAACAAAAAAAACCCCTCTACTATATTCTACCCCTCTCCAGCACATCTGACATAAGGGTCTCAGTAAGTAGCCCAGGCTGACCTTGAATTTACAATCCTTCTGCCTTAGTCATCCAAGGAGCTGGAGTTACAAGTGTGTATCACATTTGGTTGCTAGTAACACTTTCTGAAATAACCCAAATGATTTATTATAATTTAATTTTTGATATAGTTAGCTTGTTCTTAGTCATTAAAGATGCAAAAAATAGGAAGATAATGGCTAGGTCAGATCACTGTGAAATAGCATTAAAAAATAGAACAAACAAGTATTTCATACATACCAAAATATATTTTATATAACTCTCTAAAATGAGCCATTCCTTCTCACCTAATTTCAAATTACAAACTAGCTTTTTTGGGACTGTAAAACACATTTGATTCATTGCAATCTTCTTTCAACTTGCTTTTTTTTTTTTTTTTTTTTTTTTTTTTAAGATGAGTTCTCCCTATGTAGTTCAATCTAGTCTGGGACCTGCTACCAGTAGTCATGGCTCGCTTGGAATACTGATGATTCTCCTCCCTCAGTCTCCTGAGTGCTAGGATAAGGCAAGTGTTACCATACCCAGCTCAATAAATTTTTTTTTTTTAAATCTCTGGATCCCTAACTGCTATACTCTTGAAAAGAAATCTGAGCCAACCTTGGTTTAAATTCTTAAAACCTTGTCTGATGTTATTTCCCAACTTAACAGTTCTGAATTATAAAAAATTGTCAATTCCTTTGCTTATCCACAGAAATACTCATTTTAAAAAATGAGCATTACTGATCTTTTTCCAGAGAATGTTTACACTGAACTATTCTTAGTGGTAGGAAAATACAGGAACTTCATTGTTTTTGGATATTGAAAATTAGTTTGTCTTGTGTTTTGTTAAGAGTCTAGTTGGGTGTGGTAGAGCATGCCTGTAATGCCAGCATTCCGGAGACAGATGCATGATGATTGCTGTGAGTTTGAGGCCAGCATGGGCTGCACTGAGTTCAAGGCCAGCATAAACTACACAGCAAGACCCTGTGTAGTTCAAACAACAAACAGTCTAAAAGGTTCCACACACTGACCTGCCTCCCTCTTTTTACCCCCAATTTATCTAAGCTGGCAGCTTCAGTTTTCACATACACTTATAAAGAAGCAATGGTGTGTTACGTGAAAGATACTAATTGATTTTCAGGGTAAATAATTACAGAATGCCTCAGTGAGAATGCGCCATTATTCTTCCACTTTCAAAATTGAAGAACTGCTGCAAATGTGTTGCAAGAGGGAATCAATGATTATTAATATGGTTTATTCTTCCTACTGTTGAATTACTACCGCAGCGGCTGCCTCCTTAGGCTCCCTGCTTGCATCCTTATCTACTCTTGCGGGCCAATGATCTTTCAAGCATTCTAAACCATTCTATTGCTCAAATTGCAAGAACGAAACTAAACAAAGCATGGAAGTTTTGCAGTGATTCTCACCTTTCTAATCTCGGATCTTCAAACTGTGAAAGCTCGCTCCTGACAGACATTTCCAACAACTCTTCTGGCCTGAAATGTCCTTTCCTTGGTTAGCCCCTTCAGCTCGATACGCAACCGTTGGGAAAGCTTATCTTCCTAAACAAGCTCGGATCTTTTTTTTTACTTTCTCCTGTCACCTCTAGCACTACTTTGGCTGTACTCACTAGTATGTTTGCTTTGTTTTAATCTGTCTGACCACGCTCAGGTATATGACGTGACGGAATGAACGAAGGTGCCTTCTGCCGCCCCAAAGAATGTAACTGGGACACAATTCACATATAAAAAATAAAAATGCACGCAAAGTCAATTTTTAAAGGGAAGGGTTTGGTTTTAAAATTGCTAAACAGAGACAAACGAGAAGCGCAGCTGTAATGCACAGAACGAAGTCCCAATCCAGTTCTGGGAAGTGCGGACTGTAGCGGCACAGACACAGTGGAGCTTTAAATAACTCTAGAGGCTGACGACACTTTAGCTGCTGAGCAGAGTTCTAAGTTATTACAGCGCCGCCGCGAGGAGCCTCCAGCTCATTAGACACCCTCCTTTCCTCCAAGTCCCCGCGCTGCCCCGTGGTCCACAGGGCCGGGTCAGCATCCGGGTCCTTTGCCTCCTTTCTCCCCCCCCCCGTCCCGCCCCTTCTATGCCCCCTCCCCTACCCCGCTCCCTATCCGGGTTCCCCCCCCCCCGCCGCCGCCGCCGCCGCCGCCGCCGCTCACAGTTCCTCGGTGATCTCACGAATTCCCGCTGCCAGTCCAGGAGTAGAAGTATCCAGCATCAACTTCCTTCTTTGTAGTTCAGATCAAAGGTCCTTTCGACTCCTACATTAATCCCTCCTACTACTTCACCCCAGAACTCTCCGCCCTCAGCAGCTAGCAACGCCGCATTACTCGATGCAAGAAAATGCGCCATCCCAGTCACACTGCGCAGGCGTCGTTGCCGCCTCCCCGTTGGCTTTTGCTCCCGACACCGCCCTCGCTCCTCTCCCTTTTCACGCAGGCGCGGAGCATTGGTGTTCTTGCAGTTCTCCCAAGCCAGGGTTTGCGTATTGGTTCTAGGAGTTGTACTACATTTCCCAGAAAGCTTCGGGGAGTAACTTTCTGTTTCCATAGAACTGGGTGGGAAAATGGCGTCGTTGTTTGTATCCCAGGGGCCAATAGGAACAGGGCATAGGTTGGCTCTAGCAAAATCTAGCCAATCCGAGGTCGTCTAAGGGGCCATCCGGGAACGAGGTAGGGGAGGGGAAAAAGCTAGGGGAGGGGAGAAGGGAAGGTGGGGGGACCCGGGAGGGGGGAAGCGATGTTTGCCCGTCAGTCGAGTCCGGACTGAGGAGCTTGGGTGCCGGAGCGGAGGAGACTCTCGAGCCTCAGCTTGTTGCCGCCACGGGCACCACTTGGACCTTGGCCCACAGGCAACCGCGGAGGGTCGTCGCTACCGTCCTCTGGAGGGCAGCGCCACCGGGGGCCCGGACCCCCAGCCCGGGAGGGATTTTTCGTCGTCCCCCTCCCCCCAGCGAGGGAGCCCGAGCGGCCGCCAAACAAAGGTACCAGTCGCCGCCGCGGGAGGAGGAGGAGCCGCGGAGCCTCAACCTCGGCCTCCGCTGGACCCGCCAGCCTTCTCCCCCATCCCTCTCCTAGGCCTGCTGGTGTGAGTGGGGGAGGAGGAGCGGAGACTCTGGACGGGCCAGGCTTGAACCTCGTCGCCGCGGAAGGTAGGACATTTTCTGGGGCTGGCGCGGTCTCCTCGGGGCGTCCCCAGGCCGGGCCGGGGAGCAGGGCAGATGGCCGCGGCGCTATGACCAGCGCTTAGGTCTGGGGCTGAGGCCTCCCAGAACTCGCTTCTCGGTGCGGAACCCGAGTCGGTCGCGCACTAGGCGCGGAGGAACGGGGTGGGTGGGGGCCGACCGCCTCTCCGGCCCAGCTCCCACTTGTCGGCCTCCGCTCGGGGTGGACTCGGGCAGAGGCGCTGGAGGCCGTCCCGCTGCCGAGGCCCCGCAAGGCTCCAGCTACTCAGCGCTGTGCTGCTCGTGGGGGCGGACAGCGGCGTTTGTAGTGCAGGCCTGCGCCGGACCCCGGCTTGTTGTGAGTTTGTTCTGACAGAAATGGCGTCATCGTCAGAGACTGGAAACTCTGTCCAGTCGCGACAATGGGGACGGGACGTTGCCGGCCGTGTTGGTGGAGGGTGCGCGGTTGTGGCGGGGCCAAGGCGCCCTGAGCGTGCTGCTGGCGACTGTCGCCCCGTACCAAGCTTTCTTCTGTGCCACCGCCGCCCCCGATAGTGCAGGTAGTGCTCACGGTGTGTCTTTGTTTCCCCTCTAGGTGCAGGTGAATCCGGTGTTTACCAGGGAATCCTGGCCTCAGAATCACCATGAAGGTAGGATTATCTGCAGAAAAGGAACCTACCGAGTTATGGGATTCAGGAAGTAGGGGCTTTGGCCGCCGTGATTATGGGGCTTCCGAGTTTGCACAGGGAGGTGTGTGTGTGCGGCTTGGTGCGCCCATTCCTTCCCTGGAAACGGGGGCCAGCTGATGTGAATATCCAGGGCTTTGCTGTGGAGTTGCGGTTAGTTTTAAGAAATCCATGGAAGGTGATTCTCTTATACAGACTGCTTCTTTTTGCAAGGAACTATAGGAATGACTGAAGGAATTAAAGTGTTTTAGACCTTATATTAAAAAAACAAACAAACAGGTCCAGTAACCTGATTCTAGAAACTGAACTGTATGGTGGTTCTATGGGTTATACTGATGAAAGAAAATCTCATTTTATTTTGTGAACAGTTCTGCGAGTTTTTAGCAGAAAGCCTTTTTGATACAGAAATGTTATTAAATAAAGAGAATAATGTTACTTAAATCATTTTTTAAAAAGATTTTGATTTTTTTACACACTTCAGAGATAGCATTTCTTATTTTTAGGATCTAGAGTTATATGATTTTTCTTTTATTGATGCACAAATTGCATTTTACTCGAGTTTTTGTGTGTGTTTTTTTGTCATTTTAAGTCGGTTTTACTATGCAGTGCAGGCTGGCCTTGAACTCATTTGTAATCCAGACTGGCCTCCAGCTCGCAGTGATCTTCCTGCCTCAGCTACCTCCTTGCTGGGATCAGAGGCATGAGCCACCACGTCCATCTTGCTAGGTGGTTTTGTATTGTGTGGAACCTTGGATACCATGTTCTTAGTAAACCTGTTAACTAAATGGAGGATAGAATCTAAAAAGTGATTTGCTTAACTTGTGAGAGAAATTATAGTAATAAAAGGGTGAATTGTTTTTAACTTTAGGGAGTACATAAATTCTTTAAAAATATGCGTTTAGGGTGAAAAACCTTGGATACTAATAATATCTAGATATAACTGGTTGAGATCCTAGCAAGTCTTTACTCATTATAAATTGAGTGCTTGAAAGGGTGTTCATAAGTATAGAAACAGGAAAGATAGTATGTTAGAATGCAAATACATACTTTTGACAGTTTCTTTGAACTTTTTTTAAACAAAAATACATTTTGCTTCAGAATGAAGATTACTTTTATAGTACTTTAGATTAAAATTTGTAATGCTTGTGTTTATAGAAGAAAATAAAAGTGTTTGCTTGAATATTTAAGTACCTTATGTTTTAAATGTTTTTCTTCCTTTTGAGTGTAGAATTTCTAGAACAGTTAATCTGCTGAGTTCCTTTTTGTTGTTCATGTGCTTGAAAACATAACTAGTGATATTTCAGAAATGAACCCCTTTTGATAGTTATAAATGCTAGCTGCAACTCCTGTAGGCTGTGTAAGTGTGGCTAATTAGGAAAACTATCTATCTTGGTGTTGGATAAGATTTAAGTAAGTTAGGTTAATAATACATAACAAGTTTAGAAATGGAATAAACATTTGGAATAAAAGTTGTAGTCTGTCGTAGTTCATATTGTAATGCTTGCTACATCTTAGGTGCCTTGTAAATATTTGGCTAAAACAGATGTAGTTAGTGGAACATGTTTTATAATAAAATTTTCTTCATTTCCTTTTTGAAAATTCGTTGTTTGAAAAATGAAAGTATATTGGAAACTTCAGCCTTAAAAAAGTTTCATGGTTTTAGACAAATGCAAATTTTTTGTATCATTTTAGAGCTACTAATTTTAAGCATTCAGCATTTCTATTCTTACTGCTTTTTGAAAAGACAGATACTTGCAATTAGTAATGTTAACAGGAAAAAGTATGTAAAAGAGCTTTATTAGAAGTGTAAGGTGTCTTCAGCAAAAACAAATAGCTTGATTTTTTTTTTTTAATAGTAAAAAGTAAGCTCTTTTTTTTTCTTTAGCAAAAATTACAAGTTAAAATGTATTTGGCATTGATTCTGTTGAGTGTACTTTTTGTTCTTTTTTTTTTTTTTTCTTTTCTTTGAGACAGGGTCTTGCTTGATTTTGGTCTGGAACCTAGTATATTGCCTAGGGTGGCCTCCAGTGTGGGGCAATCTTGCCTTGGCCTCCCAAATTCTGGGATTAACAGGAGTGTACCACCACGCCTGGTTTGAGTTTAAAGTGTGTGTGTGGGGGGGGAGGGACATGGAGGTGTTTTATTTCTGTAGTACAATAATTGAACTATAAAAGGTTTTATGCCATTTAATGGAACTTAACAAATTCCTTCTTGGAAGCAAACTTCGAAGTTTGAATTGACCTGTTAGAGACAAGAAGACTTTAAAAACTTTAAGTGACAGTATATTGAGGTAATTTAAAGAGTACTTTGTAATTGTTGCTTCTTTCCTTAGTCTCCAAGTAAAGAAAAATTTATATACCATTTTCAATGTGACATGTTTTAACAGCAATTACCCTGCAACACTGTCTTTAAAAAATCTATATAAATAAAACCTCATAGGATTAGTGTACTTTTTCTTGTATTTTTGGAGCATATGTTTTTGACAGCTGTGATGTGTGACTGAAAAGCAGTGTGTGCCTTAATATAAAACCATGATGTTGGTGTTCTGTTAGGTTTATTTTTCATACTTAAGCTAGGCTTTCCACATCAATGATAGCATATTTTCAGGAAATGATAGATTATTATTTCCAGTAACTACATCAGATTCATTTCCTACCTTTTTTAAACTAAAACTTTATTGAAGTAAATTCACATTGCAGTTAATTTTTTGAATGGAAGCCAAGTATGGTGGTACACCCCTATAATCCCAACATTTGGGTGCCTGGGGCAGGAGGATCATTATGAGCTTGGGGCCAATATGGCTAAATAGTGAATTGAAAGCCAGCCTGAACTATGTAGTGAGACAATTATCTCAAAAAAATTTTTTTTCCTATCTAAATGGACTGATTAGAATTGTTTGGAGATGAGTGATTTAAATGGTAGTACTTAAGAACTTTGGTAATTTTTTTCATGTATTATTATTTCTTGCTTAACTTACGTGAAAATAATAGATTGATAGATTGATTATAGATGTCCCCTTTTTCATGCCCTATGTGTGTGTGTGTACACATTGTCTCCCTCTTTATTTTCTTACTTAGCTCTTCTTTCTTTTCCTTCTTTTGCTCTCTTAATTCTGTCTCATCTTTCTTTCATAAATCATTGAACAGCCCCGTCTATGTATCAGGTAGTATGGAATGCAGATGAATAAACTCTTTGACTTGCTGTCAGGGAGCTTGCAATTAAGTAGAAGATAGAGAAAAACAAAAGCAAAATCTACAGTATATTGTATATAGTGTAATAGTATTGTGGGAAGTGCTGTGGAAAGACTGAAGAGGATGTCTAAATCAGAGCCACAGAAAGTTTTCTGGTATTGATACCTGAATGTTAATGCTTCTGCTAGGAAAGAAAGGGACAGATGTGTTTTAGATAGGCAAAGACCAGCATATTGGACAATAAAGAACAAAGCAGACTGAGTTTGCGATGGCTGAAGATAATGTGCTTGAGCTGGGAATGGGAAGGCAGTAATGGGAGAAGTGGAGAAGCTGAAATTACTGTTTCTT